TCTAGAGAGCAGTAATTAAGGTGAACAATGGAACAGAAGTAACTCCTAGGAAAGGGAACAAGGACTTGGCATCTCTTATTTAAGCATCAGTTTGGACAAATGTGGTTTACTCATAACGTGGTTTTCAGCTCTGGATGCCCCTTGCAAGTACAGACCTCTATCCAATGTCTGACCACTGCATGTGTCCCAGTCCAGTGAGAGACAGCCTTCTGTCCACACATGGCTGCTTTTGTCCCCATTCCTCCAATCTTCCACCACCTGTCCCACACTGTATTTTGCTATCACACTTAGTGACTCTCAGGGAGCTCCAAGGTTGGCTGCATACTAGATGTATGTATGCCTCAGGCACCAGGGTGACTCAGTGCAGGCAGATGCACAGCCTGGGCTTGAGATCTCAAGACACACATACGTGCTTTGCTAATTATATTCAAAGAATTTTAAAATGAGGACATGGATTTTGTTGATTCTTTGAAATACAGGAGTAAGACATAAGTGGATTTATTTGCCTGAGTTGAATTTTAAATGGATTTGTAATTTTTCCTTCAGGTTAGGGTACATTCATCTAATTTAGAAAATAAATATTGGTGTAACTGTGCTTGGGATTTGCAAATACACCTCTGCATCTTTTATCTTACTACAGTAACTACCCATCCTCAGTGTCACAAGCCTTTTATTAGCAGCATCTTCCTACCCTCACTTGGGCTTCCTATACTTCACATTTTGTTCTTACTTCTCTAGGTTTCTACCAATCACACATGTATGTTTTTATTTTCTTAAAACTAAGCCGAGATCTGCGATAGAAGCATATTCTGTCTGCAATCATTATTAATTGCAAATGTCTACATGACTTTTCTATAGCAACATGTAAAGAAAAGATCCTGCTGATTGGAAACTAAACATTTAAAGCCAGGTACCAGGAGCCTGATAAAAAGACACAAGTTTGTGCTGGAAACAGCTTCCAGAAAGTCCTTTTGCTTATCCTTGTAGACAATAAAGGCGAGAAAGGAACAAAGATCACATGGGTAGAACAAGTCAACAAAAACAACTAACTGTGGGGGTTCATTCCTGAAATGCTGTACGTGGAGCTTAGGAGACCTTTGGATGTCTTGCGAAGGATCCTTAGTGCATTTTGCCAGGGCAAACTCATAGTTTGAGGAAAAGGTTAATAATTAAATGATTATTAAGCTTTCAGTCATTCTCCTACTTGGAGCAAAATCATATGTAAAAAATCTTCTCTACAGCAAAAACAACATTTTTCTTCTTTGTTCCTTACCTTCCTATGTTTTTATACACCTACTTTGATTCTGGAGTAGACTAAAGCTGATCACCTTTCCTCTTCTGCTCTCCCTCCCCACCCAAGTGCCTGTTGTTCTAACAAGTCAACAGGTTGAAAGAGACGTCATGATCCAGCAGAATCATCATCCTGCACGGCTAAATTGATGGCCAAGAGCCCAACTGGAAAGCAGCACCTTGGTCCCTTGGAAGAGTAGACAGCTCCTACAGATGACTGAGTGCTCTTTGTCCCCAAAGTTTCCAAATTGGTGGGAAAAATGTGTTCTCTGCTTTTCCTTTGGCTTTTGCTAAACCAGCTTGACAGCTGCTCAGGAAAGTGGCAGCGGAGCAAAATGTCTGCACGCAATTTTTGCAGACATGCATGAGCAAGCTCAACCTATACCCTGCGCTGTCTGGAAGCTGTGACTCTGCACTGGTGTGGTGCCAGCCCTCGACTAGCACACCTGGTCTCCAAACTGGCCTCAGTTTCTCGCACCAGCTGCCACGGCCTTCAGTCAGGAGCTCACTCTTAACAGAAGCATCTGCCGGTGTCTGCAAAATATAAATCCTGTCACACCTGGGTTGTGACTGCAGCGTGGTACCGATGCAGTGGGGTCACCGAGGCATGGAACCGCTCACTAAGCCTGTTATACCATGCTTGTGCAGCTCTCTGCAGGTTCACTGAGGGAACCACACACATCCTCACCACCTTCCGTTCCCTGTCAGCCCATAGGTCAGGGCAGAACTTGGTCTGTGAGAGGAACAAGTCCAATGAAACGTTTTCACATCACACCAAGGGGTGCTCTGCTGCTTCGTGCTTTCTTTCACATGCCTTTTTACCGAGACATTTTTTAAGTAGGAAAATTATTCTGATTAAAGCCACTTTGAAACTGTTCCTTTTGCTTTGAGCCATACAGGAGGCTCATGGGATTATTTGCAAGATGTTATTTCCTAGCAAAGCACAGAGGATTTCTGCAACAGAGGAAAATGTTTTCAGATATTTAATTACCTAATGCTTAAAAATAGGGCATTTCATTTACGAGGCATCTGCTCTCATTATCTGTGGCACCTCCCACAAGACTTACTTTAAGAGCACATCACTGAAGAGTAAACGCCAAACACAAATGATATCATTTATTTATGATAGATTGGTTTTTCTGGAAGGGAAGAACTCACGACCTCAGAGTGAAGCTGAAAATCCTGCTGCCTCCAAATACCATTCCTTGATCTCAGTCAGGGTGCTGCCCGCTGGAGTGGGCCCTACACAAACAACAGAAAAAAAAATGGGAGTTTTCTTCTCTTCAAGTTATTTGGTATTTACTGGAGGACAGGGTGACAGGGAGAACGGCAGCCACACAGGCCAGCATTACACTCCAGTTTCAGCCAAGCTCGTGTCAGTGTAAGGGTTTTACACTAATCCTTCACAAATCTGACATTAGAATTATAAAGCCAGGCCCTTCAAGTGGTGAAACAGGTGTGCAGCAGGACTTGTACTGCAATGCCCAGAGGAAGCTGGTGATTCTTGTTTGTTTTTCCTTGGTATTAATAGGATGAAATTTAAAAATAGAAAGTGTTTATACTAATAAAACCCTACAAAAAGTTTTTTTAAAGTTGTTGGTAAGATCCTTCTCTTCAGGATGAACTGAAAAAAACTAAATGATATTTCATCCTATTTCATATAATTACAAAGAGAGTAAGCATTACTTGGAAAATTAGAACCATCGGATCCCTGTTCCAGTCCCTTTCCCATGACTTTGGAAGTGTGGTGATGTTTCAGAGGCAGTTAGTCTCACAGTCGCAAGGAACTGTAATCACACATCGTATTACACTGCACTCAGCATCAAGCACCTGAACAACACTGGCTACAGTTAAACAGCATCTCCCGGGCAGACATCTCTGCCATCCCTTGTGTGAGAGTTAGACTGTGTTTTTTGCAGCAGAAGCTTCTAATATTAAAGTATAAGCTCTTACTAAATTTATAACCTTCTTATAAAATGGGTTGCTTCTCACAATAAGTTGCTGAGGCGGATACCAGCACAAGATAGAGCAAATATTTTGCTTAAAAGCAGAAACTGGAGCGTACTGACTAATTCAAGATAAGGCAAATCTGCAGGGTAGGCCTAGTACAGAACAGAACAATCATGATAACCTTAATCCCTAGAAAAAAAAAATGCAATAATCTTATGAAATATTCCCTCCTACCTCCCTAAAGAACTACAAGATACACTTAAAAACAACAGGTTGGTAACAGGCCTAATAGGGAAATATTCTTTAGTAAGTGCATCAAGATTGCGAGCCTGGGATGCTCAACCAATGAGTAATGAGGAGAGATGATAACTGTGTTGAGAGAAAGGATATATAAGGGTGTGTATTTCACTGGCAAGGTGCGTGTTTTTTCTCTTCTCATAAAAGAGTGTGCATTCACCACTATTGCAAATCAAAAATTGAGCTTCACTAAGGTTCTTACTGGAGCCAAACTTACTGAGAGTGTTTCTCACTTGTTGCAAAGACATCTCCCAGGTCATTCCCTGATGTTTGTGTGCTTCTCACCAGTGTGGTGACTTTGGTGTTTTTCCTGTTGAACAGCAGAAATTCAAGAACTTTTAACTGCTTTCCCCACACCTCTGCAATGCCAGGTCCCAGAGGGACACAGACCGGTGTGTGTTGTTAACTCCATGCCCAGCATGAGTGGTCCCACTCAGCAGAACTCATCCCAGTCTGCATGAAACTTAGCACCCTTTTCTACACATCAGAATCCTGCTGAGAATGCAAACAACCACGCAAGGTCACAGAGCCAGGCACCATGGCACTGCCCATTGTGGTCACTGCTGAGGGCCAGTTAAAATAATGGACCCATAGAATTGTTTGAGTTGGAAGAGACCCTTGGAGGCCATCCAGTCCAACTCCCCCGCGCTGAGCAGGGTCGCCTACAGCTCCACCAGGTGCTCAGAGCCCTGTCCAGCCTGACTGCAAATGTCTCCAGGGATGAGGCACCCGTCACCTCTCTGGGCAACCTGTGCCAGTGCCTCACCACCCTTACTGTAAAAAACTGCTTCCTCCTATCCAATCTAAATCTCCCGTCTTTTAGTCTGAAATCATTTCCCCTTGCCTTATCACAGCAGACCCTGCTAAACAGTCTGGACCCTCCTTTCTCACAGCCCCCTCTATGTTAAGGAAGGGGGAGGACTTTTCTACATGAAGAAATGCTGGTTTCTGGGCCAGAGTGGGCGCGCAGTCTTTTTGAACCCCCAGAGCGTGCTTCACCCTAAATCTCCGCCCTGAGGCTGCGCTCCGCACTTGGCGGCCGCCACCTCAGCGGCGGTTGGCGCCTGGCACGGCACAGCACGGCAGCCTCCGAGTGCACGCGCCCCGCGCACCCCAGCACGCCGCCGCGCGCATGGCACCGCCGAGGCGGCTCCACCCCCCCCACCCGCTAACGGCCGCCGCTAACGGCCGCGCTCCCGCCTCGCGATCCCGCCGCTAGGGGCGCGCGCCGCCCCGTCTCTCCCCGCTTGACCCACGCGAGGCGCCGTAGCGCGGCCGGGATCGCGGGCGGGAGGCCCGGGGGCGGCCGGGATGCGGACGGCGCTGCGGCCGTTGGGGGCAGCGGTTGGGCGGCGCGGGCGGGCGGACGCTCGGCCCGGGACGCCCGCGGGGCTGGGCGGACGATCCCCCGCTTCTGGCCGAGGCCGGAAAGCGCGGAGCCGCCCCCTTCGCCGCCGCCGCTGAGGGAACGGCCTCCGCCCCCGCCCCGCCCGCGGGGGCGGCTCGCACGGCGGCCCCTCCTCGGGGAGGCCGGCTGCATGGGCAGGCGCTGCGGGGTACCGCGGTCGCCGGCCTCGCCGGCAGAGCGGCTCCTGGGCACCAGGTAGGCGAGGCTGCGGCCGTGGGCGGGCTCGGGGTCGCGGTGGCGGGAGGCTCCGCCGTCCTTCGGCTCGCTCCTTCTCCGTCGTTCCCCCGCTCCCGTTTCGCACGGAAGCCGGGAGGATGGTTTGCCGCAGGCTTTGCTCCGGTCTCTCCGGCTGGCTCCGGGGGTGTGCGGAGGGGAGGGCTTTGGCCGCAGCTCAGCGCTCCTTGGCGGCGGCAGCTCCTCGCGCCCCGCTCCGTCGGCAGGGATGGGGGCTGTCGAGTACCTTTATTACCGGGTATCGCCGATCCGTGTGCGTGCCTAAAGCGGAGCTCAATTTTGGGAGTTAAAAACTCCTTCGCGTTTATTCTCTGCTTTTATTAACTGAGTGCGGCATTGTGCTGCTGGGCTGCAGAGCCCGAGGTGGAGCCAACGAAAGCAAGGGGCTGACGGACAAACCCCATAGCGACTGATAGCGAAGTGCAGGGACGGGAACATCTTAGGTCTGCTGGTTTGGTTTATATCTGCTAATTGGCAGTAAAATAAGGATAATCTTTTGTGAAAGCCTCCGAGAAGGAATAATTCTGCAGCCACCCTCGTTATTAAATCTTGTTTTTGTCATTTCTTGCAAATAATGAAGCTTAAAAATTGTTGCAGATATCTTACTGACCCTCGAGTGCATCTTTCAGTTTAGGTTACTGCTGATTTGATCCTCTGGAATCTGCAGAAGGAAGGTCAGCCAGCCGCTGTGAATAGCAGAGTAACAGGAGTGGAGCTCTGGAGCAGGATCGCTGAGAGATGTGTGAACACGCATAAGCACAGCTGAGCTGTCAAGTATTTCTGCCTCAGACCTGGGCTTGTTCCCTAGGCACGGTTTGTGTGGGGTGTAATATCTCCTGATACCTGGATATGATGTCGGTTGAAGGGTCTACAATAACAAGTCGGATCAAGAACCTCCTTCGCTCCCCCTCCATTAAGCTGAGAAGAAGCAAGCCTGGGAACAAGCGTGAAGATATAGGCAATAAGGTGAGTGTTGCATGGTGCCGCCATGCTTGCTTTAACTTTGTTGCATGTAGTCCCATCTGTACTGAAAATACCTCTGTGGGAGACTTGGTGTGACCAGAGAATCACACAGAACACCTGATATGCGGCTATAATATGTTTTTTAGTTGGCAGGGTCTGAAAAGGCCTGTTCATGATGGATGGTGACTGTAAGTACCCAGTCTGAAGTTGTGCTGTATTGGAAAGCTTTTGGGGTTTTCTTCATTCTAGCATATGGAGTTGTTATGGATGACTGGCAGGAGGAACATAATGCTGTTCCTTCCTCCATGTTCTAAAGTGCTACCTGGTGTTACAGGCAACTAACAATACACAGAGACTTGTTTTTCCTTGTAAGCAATGGCTCTTAGCCCCACAAAGGAGTGTTCTGTGAGCATCTGGGGAAGGGTGAGATGCTTAGAAAGATGGAAAGTGTGATCTGTGTCTCTGAAGTGACTGTTCAGATGGGGTTTGCATTCTGCTATCCTGGATGTGTGCTTTCTTCCATCTTCCTTCTCTGCATGCTTCAGACTAAGCTCTCCCTTCTCTAGGGGACGCTTAGTTTGAGGTGTAGTTGATCCTATCTGAAAAATTTGTGGCTCCTCTTGGTGTTGCAGAGGATGCAGACAGTCACTCTCTGGGAACTGATTGGTGTCATGAGGAGAGAAGGATGACTTCTCTCCAGCTGTGGGCAGAAGAGGAGCTGGGTGGCATTTCCTTGTGCTGACAGCAGGCGCATCTGAGTCAGGGCACCTGGTTTTGTCTCTGCCACTGATTCACTTGTAACTTTGGGCAAATCAACCAGTGCTTGCACTGCTCTGTCTCCATAAATAGAAAAGTTAATCCCTCCCCCTTGTGAAGACCGAGTAATAAATAAGAAATGCTTGTAATACATGAATACAAAGTGCATTCATTTATCTCAGGACAGTAGTGCTTGGGAAGTTTGCCACTGGAGTAAGGAACGTATGTAAAACTGCAGGGGGAAGAAATAACTCTGTTTAAATGGCCTGTCCCAGCATGAAACCCTGCTCTTGAAGCTCTGCATCTGATTGGAAGTTCATGGAGATGGCTCTTTTTTACTGAAGAGCACAATGCTCCTCTCTTGCCACAAAAGAGAAAAACCTGCTCAGCTTCCTCGGAACTGTCTAGAAGAGAGTCCTTGGTGCTGGTGCCTGGCCTGTGTGTGCGTGTGCATGCATGCACTGCATGTAATGCAGCCTGGGTGCTGCTGAGGAAACCTGCTTTCTGCCTGTTGCTGAAGAACAGGTAGTTGACTTGTACTGTGGGAACAGCCAAAAGCTGCCATACCACCGTGTACAGGGGCTCTGAACTCCAGCACTGTGAAAGGGAGCTGAGTTTGGCCTGCTCAGTTTCAGAACTGAGGACTGCTGCTATACATCCCACGCCTTCTCTGATACCTGATTTATTTATTTTTTTTTCTTTTTTTTTTGTTGTTGTTGTTCTGCCTTGCATATGACTTTTGGAAGAGCTCCATTGTATCCATTCTGCAGTCAGGGCTGTCTTGATTCCCTGGGGACATGATGGATAAATTCCACACCATCGAATTAGGGTTTAAGGGCTGGGTTTTGTGTCTTACTAGTGAGAGCAGTTAATTGGTGAGGGAGTTGGCTGGTAAAAGCATGAAATGATGAGGCGTTAGGTTCTGGTGTTGGTTTCCCAACTTGGTCTGTTCTGAATGTCTCTCAGTGACTTTGTCGGCCTTCTTTAAATGGGCAAAGCAAACAAGAGTGGGCCCTTTAACAAAGATCCAGCAGAGGTGCTTCCTTCACCTATTTGAAATCTATGATGGTCTCTGCCGTGCATGTGCTCCTCTGCCTTCCAAGGTGAGAAGCAGTTCTCCTGTTCTGAAATAGCAGTAGAAGATTCTGTTGGTCTGCAATTTAGAATGAGTGTAAATCCTTGGGACTGAAATTTGAGTCTTGCAGATGTTTCTCCTGCGGGATCTTTGCTGACCTGCAGGAAGAGCTTCTCCTGTTGTTTTTGTTTCTTGGACTCTCTGACCTGCTCTGAGAGGAATGAATGAGGTGAACCTGGCAGTATGAAAAAGTCTATGAAATATGCAGCTTTGGTTGGTCATCTCTGCTTAATGCTCCTTTAGTTATATGAGATGGAGCAGGACTGTTGCCTTAGATTAATGCATGAAAGCTGATACTCTGCATGTGGGGATGTAGGCGAAGAACAAGCTTTCTTCACCTCTTTGATTCTTCAGAGTCTTTCAGGCTCTTTTTGCAACTAGCCACTCACTTGAAGTTGGATAAACATCCCCAGCAGCACTGCCTTGACTTCTGTGAGCTGTAATTTTTTTTTTGCTTTCTTTTTCTTTTCCTATTCCTCAATTTGTGGTAAGTGTCCCTGCTCTTTCCTAAATAACCCTTGGGCTGTGTGACTGCTGTCAGGCTGTCTCTGTGGTTAGGGACGAACCCCTTGGGCAGTTGGTCCTGCTGAAGAGAAGCTCTGTGGAATTTGGCTCCTTTCAGCCAAAGCAGTCATGTACTGCTGGTCTGGAAGGGGCAGGCTGTGGGAGCCTGGCTCTGCAGGGATCTGTTCGTTCATTGCTTTGGATGGGGGAGTGTGGGTAAGTACAAATATTTTGCATGAGGGCTGTGCAGGACATGCTATGTGTTACTTGGGAACTATGCAAGAGAGAACTTGTTTTGTGACTTTTATTTGGACTTTTTCCTTACCTGTAATTAATGCATGGTTCTTCCATACTCCCCAAAGGAGATCTCTACAGAAGTGAAATTAAGGAACTTGCACATAATCATGGATATTTAAAAAATATAATAAATAAGGGAAAGAAACAGGAGTTTCCTAAATAAAGCTTGTTGACAGACTGCATACAGTGTCTAGTTTTATTGCTGCTTTTTGAAAACAACTTCTGTTTTGTGGGAATTTCAGTTTCTGTTGCCATGTGACTAGCTCTGCGTTTAGACTTTTCTTTGTGACTTTGGATGTGTTAATCCATTTTTCCTATCCTCTCCAGGACTCCTTTTTTTTTTATGTTGAGCCAATATGGTGGCTTACCTCTAGGCCTGCTGAGTGCTGGGATTGTGGCATATTAGCATGGAGTCTAGAAGCTAAAACTTCCTTACTGAAGTTGGTTGGCTTGTGTTCAATTTCTGGAGGATTACTAGCCTTTCCAGAAACCCAGCTATGCATCTGGTCACCATGCTTGTGATTCCAGTAGAGAGACAGAGTTAAAAATTGCGAACAGAGCACCTTTGCTCATGCTGCATGGGAAGCAGTGGCAGGACAGGAGGGAAGCAGGGCAGATGTGAGCCTCTCCTGTTGCTGAAATGCCCTGGTTGCTGTGAGCACCCTGCAACTCGGCAACAGAAATCTCTGCTTACTGAAGTAGCGTGCTGGAGTGAGTACAGTTCCTGCAGGGAACATTCATATTGCTAAGCTCTGCTCGCATCTTTTTATTTATTAATGTGGGGAAGGCGGTGCTTAAGCAAACCAGATCATGAGTGTCAGTGTGAAAACAAACTGTTACAAAATCTGCTTACAGATTTCTCCTTAAGAGTAAACCAAAGAGTCAAAGAGACATGCTTCGAATTTGCAGCTTATGTCTTTGATCTCTCCTGCTTTCTTCTAAGCTAGAAATATTTCAAGTTGTAAGTTTAGAGTAATGCTTTGAATGAAACCTGAAATTTCCCAGCAGGAGGTTTCCAGCAACAGGGTCTGTTGTACTGTGGTTTCCCCTGCATCAAATGTCATGTGAACGTGTGTCTGGAAGACTTGTTACTGCTGCATAGTGCAGAGTTGGACTGGATGGCTGCAAAATCTTTCTGAGAGATTTTGTTCTGAAGATGAGCCCTGTGCTACTCCTAGTAAGATGGGGCTTCCTGTCCTCTGCTGAGGAGATGTCTGTTCCTATTGCCAGCCTGTGGTTTCCCATTGGCTTGTTGGCATCTCCCTGGTAATGGCAGGGAAAAAATCACCAATGTGTCACTGTCTTAACTGTGAGTGAAGTGGGCATAGGCATGGATTTATGAGAAAAGCAAGTTCTGTGGCATCTTGACAGCCCATTCCTGACGTAGTTCTTCTCCAGCTCCTTAGTTCCCCTGAAAAGCTGCAGAGTTTGGCTGGGGCCACAAGCCATTCTTGACACAGGGAATAGAGTAATACTTCTGGCCTGCCTACAGTTTCCTGCCTTCAGTGCCCAATACTTTTTATGTGAAAACGTTGTATCTTTCAAGATGAATCAGTTCAGGCTGCTACTACTGGTCTTAACTGGATCAGCTGAAAGTTGCTGAGCCTGAACTGGAACAGAACCAAAACACACATACCTAGTTTGTACACATAAGTGGTATATATCTTCAAAAATCATTGCCTCTTATTAAATTGAAGGTGCAGCTGAGGCCTGTTGCAGAGTACAGTTTGTTTTCATGAACAGCATGGTTGCGCCTTTGCAAAGACTGCTGGCTTTCTCACCGGCAGTCTTTGCCAGCTTTGGGACCATTAGAGCCAGTAGTACAGAGTAGAGGATGTTTCTAGCCTAGATCTGGCCTGCTGTTGCTGTGCCTGCTTTAACTTCAATATCCAAGAGTGTTGCTTGACCCCAGCTGATAGCTGGAGATCTCTGCACAGCTCTGCCTAAATGCACTCAATTGCTTCAACAGCTTATGGGCTGCCATCCGGAGATAGAAGGGATTTTGTGTCTGTCTCTAGTCAGGCTTATAGCAGTGCCTCTTAGAGCAGAAGACAAAGGCTGATTAGCCTCTCCATGGCCAGACCTGTTCTTCACCATCTGTAGATGGTGTCAGTAGAGCAATCGAGAGTGTTGGAGCTCAAGGGCTAAATCCTTTCCGACTGAACTGCTTTGGTCCCTTCTGTTTCATCCTCAAGTACATCGTGCTCAGGATGATCTTGTGTTTGTTAACAATTACATGCATAGGTTTTCCAGGCTACATTTGTTCATGATTACAGGGACACTAGACTCAGTCTCCTGGCCTAAATTGGAG